ATTAGTAGTAAATCGCCTTCACCTGCTTTCAGATGGAGCGGCATTTACTACAAAGAGCCGTAGTTAACTGACAAGCTGAGTCATATCCATTAATATCGCGGACGTATCGCCAGCAATAATTAATGCGATATGGCTCAGCTTGTCAGTTAACTACGGCTCTTTGTACACAGCAAAAGCTCCAGTGTTAAATTGAGGGGGCTTTCACACTGGCAGTTTAGTTCGGGAACGGGGCACGGTTCGCATGAAAAATTGCTAATGTGAACGCTGTAATGGGACCCGGGTGCGCACTGGGGTACCGAACCCGAGACTACCTGGAAAAGGTGGTCTGAGTTCGGTTGCTCCCGAACCGTGCCGCGGTTCGCGTGAATGTGAAAGCAACACGGACTCGGGTGCGCACTTGTTCAGGAAGTAAAGTAACCTGCGCATGCGTTTATAGCTTATTGTGATGTATTTAGTTAAATAAAACGCTTGTAAGGGATGATAGTGTTGATGATTTACCTTGGATACGAGCGAGAGTGAGCCTGCGTGCAGTGTATTCGTGCATTGCGCGTGGAATCAGGGAAACAAAGTTGGAAATCCACTGTCTCCTAAAAAGAGTCCGTTTGTAAGCAGCAGAAGTCCACCTTATGTGACACACGCACAGTAAACCTGTAGTGTTCACTCAACTGCGCATAATAGCAGCGAATTAATAAAAAAAAAAACAATATTGACCCACGTTCTTTTTTCTATCATGCGCCGTGCACGTTTGCGATGACGTCATATGCACGCAAACGCACCAGGGTTCGATAGAATCAAGTTGTGTGTGAAACCAGACCAACGCTGCGGGGGACGCCGGGAACAAACGCGCTCGGGCTCGGACCGCAGCAAACGAGCCCAGTGTAAAAGCCCCCTAACACTCCTGGGAGTGTATATGAGTCCACACTCAAGAGTGTTGAAGTTAATGAGATAATTAAATGATTAATTGAGTGATGATTGAGCATTATTGAAGACACCTGATGTTAACAAGCAGAATCACTGAAGGAGAAAATCTAAAATTGTAAGCCACCGTTATGGCGATCATTGGTTGCTTTAGTTGGGCTCTTGACCCTTATATATTATTAACTTTAGATTTTGTTTGGCTGATGTATCTGAGTTATAACTGCCAGATGAACAAAGAAAAAAGTGATCTGATGGTGTTGGTTATATTATGACAATCGTCATTTTGAACTTTATGATTTTGATTTGTGTTGTTGGTTACAGCATAACTGTGATTCTGAATAAATATCCAGAATTTTAGCTAAAATAAAAATTATTTCTTAAAAGTTGTTTCTAAAAAAAGTTCTTTCTTATAGGCCCTCACAGACTTCAAGATTCAGTCTATGCATCTCAACAATGGTGACGAGCAGAATATTCAATTAGGAAAAGTAAATCACATAGAAAATTCAGATCATAATTTATTCATATCGCAATGCATGATGGGAGCCATTAATGAGTTGTGATTGGTGGCAGCCACTGCAACATGCTTTATTATTGTCACCATTGTTGAGATTCACAGGCTGATTATTGATGTCTGTGTTTCTAAATAGATTTATTTGAAAGTGTTTTGATCAGAACAATGTTTATTAAATATTTTGGATTATAAAACACATACCTATATGCTGTAGAATCAAAAAGTTGTTGTCAACAAGTTAAACCAAACTATCTCAATAAAATTCATTTTTCAGATCACAGCATGATTATGCCAAAACATAACCAACACTATCAGATCACACTTTTTTTTGTTCATTTGACTGTTATAAATAAATAACAGCAGACAAACAAATTTAAAGTGAATGTATAAAGGTTAAGAGCCCAACTAAAGCAAACATAACTGCCATAACGGTGGCTTACAATTTTTGATTTTCTCCTTCAGTGATCCTGCTTGTTAACATCAGGTGTCTTCAATAATGCTCAAACATCACTAAATTAATCACTTAATTATCTCATTAACTTTAACACTCTTGAGTGTTAATTTAACACTGGAGTTTGTGCTATGTAGTAAATGCCGCTCCATCTGAAAGCAGGTGAAGGTGATTTACTACTAATCAAGGAACCAGCTTTACTGACGAGATGCTTATAACAATGTGATGCAATATATTGCCCAGCCCTACTCTTGACCCTCACAACATTAACTTTAGATTTTGTTTGGCTGCTGTACATGAGTTATAATAGCCAGATGATCAAATAAAAAAGGTGATCTGATGGTGTTGGTTGTGTTGTAACAAAATCATTATTTCACAATCAATTGACCTGAACTCATATAGAACCAATTTCTGAGTTAAGAATACCTTAGCATACCATTTTTAGCCTTTTCAATGAAATAAAAAAAGACACTTTTAAAAAGCATTTGTATGCAGGCACACACACACACGTCAAGAATTAGTGTATGAATCTCAGCAATGGTGACAAACAGATCACCTCTGAACATAAGCTCAATATTTATTCATGCAGCAATGCATGATGGGAGCCATGAATGAGTTTTGATTGGTGGCACCCAGAATACACTGCAACATGCTTTATAATTGTCACCATTGTTGATATTCACAGTAGGGCTGAACGATTTTGGAAAATAATCTAATTGCGATATTTTTAACCAATATTGCGATTGCGATTTAATATGCGATTACTTTTTAAGTTCTTTATCTTCTGTATTATTCGACAAAGACAAGCAATAAATCATTGTATGGTAGGGATGGGAATCTTGAGGCACCGCATGATCTACTTTTTTTCGTAACTAATTTTATTAATAACAGTTAAAAAAATTGTGTAATTATACATATTTTTAAAAGTAATTATTAAAAAAAACATGTTAAGAATTTTAAATAGGTTATATAAACGAATATAGCTTCAAAATATAAAAGCTAGTAAATAAAGAGGAACAAGAAAAAAAAACATATTACAAGCAATAAACAAAGAGTGATTTCAGTATTTAAAAGTAGGCTGTCTGAACGTTTTCCATTCAAGAGCTGTGAGTGATTTTTCTTCTCAGTTTAGATACGATAAGCTGCATCACACTAATGCACAGATCCCTTTTGAAATATAAGATGTGGTTTGTCCTGTTGGTTTAAGATATGACGGACCGTGTTTACATTCATTTCGCGTCATAAAGGCATTTTGAGATGCCAGTACATTAATCAATGAGTCGCTCACAGCTGCATGCGCGAGCGCTCTTCACAAAGCGCGCGTGAGTATTTTAAATTGAAAGCAGCCTTCTCAGTAATTTTCATATTTTTCATATATAAGTTCCAAATTAAATAATGCCTTAGTAGAGCGTTTGTGAGGAAAATTCCGGCGGGCGAGACCGCGAATTGCAAGAGTAAGCAAAGCGGCAACCGGTGCAATAAAGCCCGTGAATGTCCTTGTAATTTGCTTAAACCTTTCCGAACTTTATGAAAGATTATTTTTCGTAAGGTTCGAGCGGTTTCGTGTGTGTGTGTGTGAGAGAGAGAGAGGCAGAATACGGCTGTTTCTAAGCACACGCAGCGTCATCACGCATCTGTTTAAAAACTAAGCTCAGACTCGATTCTGAAATTCTCTGAATATATTATTATACATTATATATTAATTATATATATATATATATATATTACAACATAATATCACATTAATCAAACATAAACTGTTCTTTCCTGTATGCCAGGCCTATATGGGTAGCGTGCCACGTGACCAGAGTGTAATCGCAGCTCCTGCGGTTTAAAAATCGCGTTTCATCATATCGCGATTTTATCGCAAATGCAATTAATCGTTCAGCCCTAATTCACAGTCTGATTCTTGATGTCTGTGTGTCTACATAAACTTCTTCTTTTTTTTAGAAGTTTCTTTTTTATTGATTTGATCATTTAGATTTCATTGAAAAGGCTATAAATGGTATGCTCTACAAAGGCAGTGGTGCTATAATCCATAAGGTAAATTTAAATCAGAAATTGGGTTCTAAATGAGTTCAGTTATTCAGGTCGAATGATTGTGATATAATGATTATGTTAAAACACAACCAACATCATCAGATCACCTTTTCTAATTGATCATCTGGCTGTTGTAACTCATGTACAGCAGCCAAACAAAATCTAAAGTTGATAATGTGGGGGTCAAGAGTCCAACTAAAACAAACACCGATCTCCATAATGGTGACTTTCGGTTTTCTCCTTCAGTGATTCTGCTTGTTAACATCAGGTGTCTTCAATAATGCTCAATCATCACTCAATTATTCACTTAATTATCTCATTAACTTTAACACTGCTTCAGTGTTCATTTAACACTCAGCTCAGAGTTTAATTGGATCACTTAAAATGACTGACTTCCATGATGTTGAAGTTACATAAAAATATTATGTTTGTTTAACGTAACCCAGTTATGTGCAACCTGTTGACATAAAAAAGTTAATTAAAGCCAACATATCATTTATTTGAGTGTGTTGAAGTTACATTAACAAATTATGTTTGTTTAACATAACCCAGTTATGTGCAACCTGTTGACATAAAAAAGTTAATTAAAGCCAACATATCATTTTTTTGAGTGCTTTTGATTTGATTTGAATACCTGCTGTCTCCAATCATCATGTCTTTAATAATCATTGTTAAATTATATTTGATCCATCTAGCATCAAGACTGAGTTTGGAACAAAGGACTCTCCAAATGTGCTGTTGTTCAGTGACGGCTATACATTATCAACTGAATTTTTATCTCTGACCACGGCCTGTAAGATGGATCTCTACAAGTTTCCCTATGACAGACAAATCTGCAATATAACATTTCAGTCTACAGCATATTCAGGTACATCTGAAACACATGAATCAGTTTTGACAAACAAACACAATATTTTTTTACTTCAATATAAAATAATAAAATGTTAATGTCTGTTCCCACAGTTGAGGAGATTCGAATTGATGTAATAACAGATAAACGTTTTATAACCAATGAGTCGAGGGCGACCTTTCAGGCCGAGGGAGAGTGGGAGCTTCAAAGTGTAAACAACATTAACGATACCATCTTTATATGGAATGAAATGGATCTGCTGATATATCAGGTACAGAGCACAGGGTATGGATGTAAGCCAATAGTAATATAAATACAATTATATATATATATATATATATATAAAAAAAAAGAATTTTAACCCATAAAAAGGCAGGGGCCTTATACCTTATTATTATTTTATTATTTATTCATTTCAATACATGCACTGTAAACCCAGATTTTGTTTCTAATTAAACCTACACAGCAAAATCCCCAGTGTTAAATTAACACTGAGGGGCGGTTTCCCGGACAGGGTTTAAATTAAGCCTGGAGTAGGCCTTAATCTAAAATTGTTAATCGTGTCTTAAAAAATGGCTTTCTGTAACACAGATTAAGTACAGATTAGTTACACTTGGACTATGGAGTCCTGAACTAAAATAAATCAGATGAAATTAAAACCAACTGTGCTAATATGAATTAGCATGACAGAGGTTGCCTATAAAAAATGGAATGAACCAAGAAAACTTAGAATTGCATGGAACTGAGAAGCAAATCCAAGGAAAACAATGGCATCAGAAAAAGACTGCAAACAAAAACATTTACTAACAAGAGACAATTATTTTTAAGCAAGCTAAATAATCTGCACACACCAGCTATGGAATAAAAGAAAAGAAATGCCAGGAAATCTGTTTGTTTGTATATATATATATATATATATATATATATATATATATATATATATATATATAATCAACGATGTACAACTAGAATCAATGGTGTTCATTAACAATGAATGGTTTTCATTTAAAATGAATTATTCAAACAACTCTATAATTAATGCTTCTTGTTTATTCCTGTGGTGTACATAAACTTACTAAAACATCTCTCTACACATGTGGTGTTCAAATTTGACAGTCTAGAAGCAATACTTTCAACTAGAGTACTACCATGGTTGCTTTATTAATTATACAACTAGAATTCTTGGAAGCAGGTCCTCGGTCCAAGCACAGGCTCAACAATTCACCCCAATGGTAAGCCCCCAAAATACTAACATAACATAAATGTTTAAATATCAACATAATAATAGAACATTAAACATTAACAAGTCTCTCCGTTTTCTCATCTTACTAAAATAATTGCATAAAATATCACTTTATTTCAAAATTTACATTTCAGCCCTGTGCAAAGCATGATGGGAAGTCAATATCCTGTATTACTAGATTACAATATCCTGGGTTACTACACAGCTAAATTCCCAGTGTTAAATTAACACTCTCGGTGTTCATATAGGTCCAACTACAGGGTGTTAAAAATGAACACTGAAGCAGTGTTGAAGTTAATGAGATAATTAAGTGATGATTAGTGGTGATAGCTAATGTTAATAAGAAGAATCATTGAAGGAAAGAGAAACAACAAGAACTACTGACTTCGAGCCATTACACATTATTGTACTTATTATTACCAGTGTATTTCTGTCATAAATCTACACACATTCTTAATTATATTGAACAGAAGTTTAGATGGTAATGTTTTATGGAATGTTTCATTTCATGTCACCATTATGGCGATCAGTGTTTGCTTTAGTTGGGCTCTTGACCCTTTGCTTTTTAACATTAGTTTTTCTCTGGTTGCTCCATCTCTGTGTTTATAAAGCACATGTGTTATTGCAGGAGAAACCATGACATGGGCTGTGTTTCCGAAAGCATCATAAGCCTAATTTGATTGTACAGACATTTTGTTGCAATTGTTCTACGATCAAGTTAGGTTTAAAATGCTTTTGGGAAACACAGCCCAGGTCATGATGGTTATGTTTAAATAATGAGATTACCATCCTGTGGTGTCCTGATTCACTCAACCAGCATTATAAACTGATTATACAAAGCTTCTATTCATATTCATTAAAGTAACTAATTCCAGCAGTGCTTTAATAATCTGTAGGTTTTAAAATACCACATAGATATCAAGAATCTACATATGAATCTCAACAATGGTGACAATCACATAAAATATTCATGTTGCAGTGCATGATGGGAGCCACCAATCGAAATGCATCCATGGCTCCCATCATGCATTGCAGTATGAATAAATTATACAGCTGAATTGTCCTGTAATTTTCATTGTTTTTCCTGTTTGTTTTTATTTTGCTATTGTTTTGTTACGACTTTAATAGCTTGTTTTGTGATGTTCAGAGTTGATCTGTGTGTCACTAGTTTGTTTATTGTCACCATTGTTGTGATTCATATGCTGATTCTTGATGTTTGTGTGTCTAAACACAGGAGCTCCAGTGCACAAAAAAGTTTCAAAATTGTTATAATTGCTGTTGGGTCTCAAACTGTAGAATCTAAGGGCTACAATCACCCATACTAAAACACAACATCAATCATATAGTCAAAGATGTAGACTCTGAATGACATCAATGAATCAGGTCACTACGTGATGATAATGTCATCATCACAACATACTGTTGGCATGTTCTCTCGTGCAATATCAAATGTGCTTTATAAACACAATGTTGGAGCAGCCAGAGAAAAACTAACGATGAAAAATGAAAAGGGTCAAGAGCCTAACTAAAGCAAACACTGACCACCATATTGGTGGCTTGAAATGAAAAATTCCATAAAACATTGCCGTCTAAACTTCCGTTGAATCTCAATAACTTTTGTAGATGTATGACAGAAATAAAGTCACACTGGTAATATTAAGTGCAATAATGTGAAAAGGCTCGAAGTCAGTAGTTCTTGTGTTTCTCTTTTTTTCGTTCTTGTTGTTTCTCTTTCCTTAAATGATTCTGCTTATTAACATCGGGTGTCACCACTAATGGCCAATCATCACTTAATTAATCACTTAATTATCTCATTAACTTCAACACTGCTTCAGTGTTCATTTTCAACACCCTGTAGTTGGACCTATATGAACACCGAGAGTGTTAATTTAACACTGGGAATTTTGCTGTATAGATTGAAACAGATTTCAAAATGAAAACATCAAGTGAAGTCAAAGAGTGACCATTTCAAGTCAGTTTAACATGAACTAATCACATTTGAACAAGAAACCCAATACAATGGTGTTAAAACAAAATTACATGTTTAAATGATATATTAATAGATGTACTGTATGTGTGTATGTGTGTATCCAAGTAATGCAGGTGTCTTCTTTGAAACACAAAGTTAATCTGAAGTTAAACCTGCCTCTTGGTAGGTTTAATTTAAGACTCAATTTAGTCCTGGAGTAACTGTAGTCTTCCTTCAGGAAATCAGTTTATTAAACTCTGGACTAAACTAAATCTAGGACTATTTAAAGCCATGACAGAGAAAGCAGATTTCTGTTAATCTGGTTTAAAGGGCCATTTTATTCTAGGACTAGGCTTAATCTCTGTCCGGGAAACCGCCCCATAGAGTGTGAATTATATAAACTCTGAGCAGAGTGTTAAATGAACACTGAAGCAGTGTAAAAGTTAATGAGATAATTAGGTGAATAATTGAGTGATGATTGAGCATTATTGAAGAAACCTGATGTTAACAGGCAGACTCTCTGAAGGAGAAAACCGTAATTTTTAAGTCACCATTGTTTGGTTTAGTTGGGCTCTTGACCCTTAAATCATTAACTTTAGATTTTGTTTGGCTGCTGTACATGAGTTATAACAGCCAGATGAACAACTGGAAAAGGTGATCTGATGGTGTTGGTTGTGTTTTAACATAATCATTAATTGACCTGAATAGATTACCTCATCAAGAGCATAAATTCTGAGTTAAATTTACCTTATGGATTTTAGCAGCACAGTCATATTAGACCATACTCTTTTTAACTTTTTCAATGAAATCCAAACGATCAAATAATTTTTCTTTTAATTTTATGTAGGCACACACAGACATCAAGAATTAGTGTATACATCTCAGCAATGGTGACAAACAGATCACCTCTGAACATAAGCTCATTATTTATTCATGCAGCAATGCATGATGGGAGCCATGAATGAGTTTTGATTGGTGGCACCCAGAATGCACCGCAACATGCTTTATAATTGTCACCATTGTTGAGAATCACAGGCTAATTATTGATGTCTGTGTGTCTTAAAATCAATTGTAAAAAATTGTATAAGAGAAACTTTTAAGAAATTACTTTGATTACGTTGTAAACGTTAAAAATATTATGCTGTACAAGGTCACTGCTGCTATAATTAATTAATAAAGTAAACTTAACTCAGTAGTTAGGCTCTATATGAGTTCAGTGATTCAGGTCAAATGATTGTGAAATAATGATTAAAGTCCCCGTGAACCGGAAGTTGCAAACGACTTTTCTCCAGTGTTGTGACGTATTTCCGAGAGAAACGGAATACTAAATGAGGCAAAATGGTGGGCGTGGCTTTTTTCCCTACTAGCACCTGATTGGATCTAGAAAAGTAGGTGTTTTCATTCAGCCTGTCTACTGTCAGTTGGAGGGGCGTGGTTACGGATGTTAAGAAGACGCCCAAACCGTAAAGCCTACGTCATCAGGCAAGGTCCTCCAACGCAGAGGGGAGGGGAAATTTCAGATTTTGATTAAAGATTACGAAGCCAAAAAAAATTTTTGTGTGGATTGACTTGCATGGATGAATTGTTCACCACAAAACGATCAATTTAGGCAAACAAAGTGAGTATGGTCAATTTTGAATTCATGGGGACTTTAAGTTAAAAAACAACCACCACCACCAGATCACCTTTTCTATTTGTTCATCTGGCTGATATAACTCATGTACAGCAGCCAAACAAAATCTAAAGTTAATGAATTAAGGGTCAAGAGCCCAACTAAAACAAACACTGATCACCATAGTGGTGACTCAAAGTCCGGTTTTCTCCTTCAGTGATTATGCTTGTTAACATCAGGTGTCTTCAATAATGCTCAATCATCACTCAATTATTCACTTAATTATCTCATCAGCTTTAACTGTTCATTTAACACTCTGCTCAGAGTTTATATAATTCACACTTTTCAGTGTTAATTTAACACTGGGGATTTTGCTGTGTACGAGTGATCATTTTCTAGGGTGCTCTAAATCAGTGTTTCTCAACCCTGCCCCTGAAGGACCCCCAA